CGTGGTGAAGAGGGAGCTGAGTGTAAAAGCGAAGCTCTCAATTTACCGGTCGATCTACGTCCCTACCCTCACCTATGGCCACGAGCTGTGGGTAGTGACCAAAAGAACGAGATCGCGGATACAAGCGGCGGAAATGAGCTTCCTCCGAATGGTGGCTGGCCTCTCCCTTAGATATAGGGTGAGAAGTCTGGCCATCCGGGAGGGGCTCAGAGTAGAGCTGCTGCTCCTCCACATCGAAAGGAGCCAGCTGAGGTGATTCGGGCATCTGACAAGGATGCCTCCTGGGTGCCTCCTGGGGTTGGTGTTCCGGGCATGTTCCGCCGGGAGGAGGCCCCCCGGGGCAGACCCAGGACACGCTGGAGAGATTATCTCTCTCAGCTGGCCTGGGAACACTTTGGTGTTCCCACGGATAAGCTGGAGGAGGTGGCTGGGGAGAGGGAGGTCTGGGCTTCTCTGCTTAGGCTGCTGCCCCCGCGACCCGGCCCCGGATAAAGCGGATGAAGATGGATGGATGGACATTTTACATTTTATGTATAATGTAAATTAAAACAGAATGCAAGGATTCACAAGTGTCATAAAGCCATATTTTATCCACAATACTCTTCCATTAAAAATGTTAGCTCATTTTGACAGGAGTGAGACAACTCAAAAAGTGGTGATGGAGGCAACTATTGTCTGGAAATTTAAGTGATACTAAAAAGAAACAGCTGGAGGAACATTGTGCGACTATTAGCTTAATTGGCAACAGATTAGTAACATGACTGGGTATGAAACGAGCATCTTAGAGAGTTAAGCACAAGTTCACAAATCTGCAAAATCTGCATTTATAAATTGTGAAATGGATTCATTCAGATAAGACGTTTTACAATTCAAGTCATAAAGAAAGTCAGTAAATGGTCAGTAAAAATCACAAAGAATATAGATTATAAATGAAACCATGCAAAACATGGCAAATATTAAGGGAAAATGACTAAATTCTACAAAGTATGGGAAGAGGTGTGTACAATCTGGCATAGAGAAAGTAATAGTCTACTATGGAAAGAATTTGACTTTAAACTAAAAATGTGGTATTTAAATACACCTCTCATAATCTCATCATATGTGAAAGAAATTAAAGTGGAACTGTGTTGGAGGAAATGTGGGAAAACCAGACCACTCACATATTTTTTGAGACTGTCCAGTAATCAAAGGACTCTCGAAAAGGGTCAAGAAGAAACCGATCAAATCTTACCCCATTAGACCCACTGATTTTTCTTTTGGGAACTACTGTATACATAGGGAGACATATAGCTCAGACCAAAGGTGCATTAAAAAAATTAAAAACCTGTGAAGACTTTGAATATTTCTACCGTATGTAATATTTTCAAAAGATACCAAGTATTGAAAGAAAACTCTGTGCACAAGCGATGAGGGCAAAAATCAGTCTTGGATGCCTGGGATGTTCAGGCCCTCACACAATACTGCACGGAAAAACAAGAATGGTTCTGTCATGGAAATTACGGCATGGGCTCAGGAGCACTTCCAGAATTCACTGTCTGTGAACACAGTTCACTGTGCCATAAGGAAATCCAGGTTAAAGCTCCATTAGCAAAGAAATGTCCAGTCTTTTCCTGCAAACTATATTTAAAATGAACTGAGGAAAAGTGGAAAACTGTTCTGTGGTCAGACTAATCGAAATTTAATATTCCTTTTGGATCGAGCATCCTCCATACTCAGGAAAGGGACCACCCAGCTTGTTATCAGTGCCTAGTTCAAAAGCCTGGATCTGTGATGATATGAGGATGTATTAATGGCTATGGAATTGGCAGCATGCCAATCCTGAAATACTGGAATTCCATCCAGATGATGCCTTTCTCGGGGAAGGCCTTGCAAATTTCAGCAAGACAATACTAAACCACATAATGCACTATTACAACAATAAGGCTTCATGGTAGAAGAGTCCAGGTGCTGTCCAGACCATGTTGAAAAATTCTGCACATCATGAAACAAAAAATAGGACAAAGAAGATCTAGGACTGTTGAGGAGCCAAAATCCTATAGCAGAGTGGGACAATGGGACAATATTCCTATTTAAAAAGTCTAGCAGCTGATCTCAGTTCCCAGAAGTCTGAACTGAATGGGGAAGCTACACAGTGGTAAATTGCTCTGTCCCAACTCTTTTGAGACATACTGTTGCCATCAAATTTAAAATGAGCTAAAGACCAATGTTAATCTTGTTAATCTGTGACACATCTGCAGAAGTTGATAAAACTACTTAAACCAGCAGTGTGTTAATTAAACTATCAGAGTGGCAGCTATAGATCCAGTCAGTGTCTGCAAGCAATTCCACCATTAACTGTACTGAAGCAATGCCACTAGAACAAAAATTAGGTTACATTTACCCACCAGTGAATGTTGTCTCATTTTAAAATACATCTTACCATGTTACCTAAAATTTGGCTCCATACTGTAGTGGTTTACTTATATGCCTAACAAGCGAAAGACCTCTGGTTTAAATATGGGAGGAGAAACAAAGGGCTTCCAGTGTAAAAATCTGCCAAATCAAACGTTCACTGTGGCCAACCCATTGTGAACAAGGGAGGAGCCGAAAGCAGCTTTTATTATATTACCTAAAAACAGAGACAGGAATAGAAAGAAAGCCCATTCAAAGCCCATTGCCCTTAAAGTTAATTGACTCTCACCATCACATCTCCCCACTATGAGTGTTACGGCTTTGCCTCTGATTTATATCAGTCAGCTTTCCTGTCATGATGGAGATTAATGGGTGTGTTCTGACAGGTGCAGAAAGCCCTGTATTAGTCTGTCAGCAGCAGAATCAACAATAAACATGCGTAAAGCAGAGATGAAGATACTACTGCCTAGGGCCTGCGTCACCATAGAGGGCTTAGCAGAACTTCCCAGTGAAGCTATGGCAGTGCCAAGCGAAACAAAGCTACAAATGTTCAACGTGGAGTGTGTGGTTCATTGCAGTTGTGTGAGGGCATTTTCACACTTGTGCATGAGGGGGCTTGTCTTGTTTACAGTTTGATTGGCAGTTTAATGCATTGCAGGGCGGGGTTGGCGCTGAGGAATATTAACATAATTCCCAGAGTGCCAGAATCGGTATTGGGTGTCGAAGAGCTATTCCAAACTCAGCTGTGACCCACAGTAGCACCGGGTCATCTTACCCATGGGCCAACAAACAGACAGCCAGACAGATGCACACACGCACAGTTGATCAGACTCCGATATTCATCACGTTTAACTCAAACAAATTTAATGCATGCATGAACACACATGTAAATGCACACATGTATGAACATCTGGACATGTAATAAAGCCTAGGTGTGCATAACACATGCTCACATGCTTACACGCACACAAACATGCACACACATGCACGTATGCCGGTCCATTTACACTGTGGCGACAGTGAGTCTGTTAACGGGATGCCATAGTACAGAGGGGTGGACAGATTTAGGTCTCCCTCACACCTAGCTGTGCCAGGGGTGGAGGGGGTTGTAGGGTAATGATACCATTAACACTTGCTGTGCCAACAACCCAACCCTCCCCCCACTTCCTCCAGTGCTCCAATGAGCACCTCCCATTGGGTTTCTCTGCTCTCCACGCAGCAACAACAGTTATTCACCTCTCCCAAAATAAAACAACAGCCAATCACAGGGTTGGAAGACAAGAAGTGATCACTACGGACATAATCCTTGACCGCAGGTGAAAGAAGGACACTGAGAAGAGAAACAAAAGTAGACCTATAAGCCAGAAAAATGAAAAACGGAGAGAGTTTAACTGCAAGAAATGTGGGAGCAGATAAGCAGAAAAAACAAAAACAAAAAAGGGATGGATAGGGACACAGAAGATGGAGGAGGAAGGAGATTGTGTAATGATGTGTTCGGGTGCTGGCTGTTCCGTTCTTACTGTGGCAGCTACCATGGTAACCTCATAAATAGGTGCCCTACATATCAGCAGGGCATAAGGTTACACAGCTCAGTAAATAAACACACATAAACAGCAGAGGAAGCGTGATGAGGAGAAGGATGGTTGGAGCGAGAGAGGAAAAATAAATTAGTAAGAGAAAAATGTCAAATATAGAGGGGAATAAATGACAACAATAATGATTTGATTCCTCTGTGTTGATGATAATGTGCGTTTGTCTGGCATGCATAATTACCTAAATCTACAATTTGCAGTAGAACATCCACATTAGGGACTGGCTGAGGTAACACTGCCTTTTTATCATCATTAACTCCAGCTTACGCGCAGACACAGACAAAAAAATTATCAAGTTCTAGTTCCCTTCTCTTTTCCTCTGTAGCACAACTGCAATTTACCGTTACATTTTCCACAGTAAGAAAAACAAAGTCTACACACATGCATACGCCTGCACACACATACAATTACAGAACAAAACAAGTTCAAAACCAGGAAAAGCCAACAAAGAGCCACTCCACAACAAGGAGCTATTCTGTTCTGTGATCCAAAGCCTCAACTTTTTTGATTCAAGCCAAGATAGAGTAACTGTAACAGCATGTTAATTAGAGCTAATTAATACCACCAATTACAGCAGCATCAGTCCGGTTGTGCCACAGCAATGAAATCCTCAGTTTATTTTCAGTCTATGTCTATGTCAGTCTATGTCTATCCCTCAGTCAGGCGCCCTCATACTGCACCTAAATGGATCAACAGTAACATTTAAAAGCACAGATGGCACATTTTTATATACATCAATGAACATAAATTAACCCAGAGTTGCACTGCATGTAGCAATCTTTCCAACATGACAAATTCCCAATCAGTGGACTGCACCTGTAATGGCACCGTCTTGGAATAAGTACTTCATATTACTCAAGCCCTTGAAACACCCATTTCTTTATTTCCTAGCAGCAGCTTGAAATGCAATAATAATAAAAAAAATCTCACAGCACCAATAAACTATTTTCTGAAATGTTCATGTCTTTGATTGTCTGTTAGATTATGCATTTGTTAGTGTGACTTTGGAACACTTACTTTAATGACCTCTGGAGTCTGCTGGATAAGAAGGGTTGAGCCAGCATCTCTCAAAGCAGTATGTTCACCAACAGCAACGGTAGCACTTGCTGTGGTTGGCGTAGCAACAGGAGCTGGAGCTTCAGGTGCGGCCACAGGTATGGTTTCATCGGAAAGCGTAGAGGAATGCAAGTTTGCAGGTGCAGAGGATATCGGGGCAGAGACTGGTTTTGAGTCATCCTCATCTGTAGACGCTTCTGGAATTTTATCCACAGACTCGACTGGAGGGTCAGGTGTAGGTGTAGGCAAAGGTTGGGGAGCACTTTCAGGTGTAGATTTAGGTGCTTGTTCAGCTGAAGCACTGCTTTCAGAATCAGATACTGCAGGTGTTGGGGCAGGTGAAACTTCAGGTGTATTTGCCAAGGTGTGTTTTATCAGTGTATCTGAGATTGCATCTGTATGTACAGTTGAAGCGGTGGGAGCAGCTGGTGGGTTTGTGCTCTCCAGAGGTGTATCAGCCCTGCCAGTGGTGGCCAGTGTATCCTGCAGGAGCCTCATCACCTCCCGCTCCTTTCCACTGTTCCTCTCAGCACTCCCTGTGCTCCCTGCTCCGGAATCCACCAGTTCTTGGGCAAAACTCTCAATGCTCTCAAGGATTCTCAGCAACAATGCCCCATCCTCCTCCTCTCCTGCCACATTTTCACTCCTCTCTTCTTTAGGAGGAGTGAAACTCTGGGGAGTTCTGGAGCTAATGCCGTTCATGGTTAAGTGGCTGTCTGGCTTTGAGACTTGGAACAGAGCCATTTTGGGTTGAGTGAAGGACTCACTGGAGGTGATCCCCTGGATCCCATCTCTCTTCCTGGTTTTGGCAGGAAGTGGAGGCTCTGTCTTTCTGGGATGAGTCATACTTTGAGAGAGATTCTCCAAGTCCATGAGCAGCTTGTCAATGTCATCATTCCTGTGTGCAGCAGCTTTGGGTGCAGAGACTGTTAGTGACGCAGAGGAAGGCCAATTTGAGCCATAGCCAGAGCTGACTGGCAAATTATTTGAAGAGTTATAGAGCGTGTGTGTTTGGGACAGGTGCATGTTTTGCCCCATCATAGTCCCACTTTTGCTCTGGCTGCTGTTCATCCCTCTAGATGGAGTGTGTGTCTGCTGTGAGATTTGTTCTGGTGTCTTTCCCATATCTGCTTCCTCCTCCTCAATATAAAGAGCCTCCATGGGAGATGCTGGGGGAGTGTGTGTATAAGCTGGGGTCGGGGAGTTATGAAGAGGGGAGGAGGAGTGTGTTGGAGAGGAGCTGGATGAAGAGGATATAATGGTTGGAGGAGAGAGAGTATGTTGTGTATAAGACGAAGTATGTGGATGTTGGATAACTCCATTAGTAAGTGGGGTAGCTCTAAGCTGGGCTGAGCTCTGAACTGGTTTGGTATGGATGGAATCTGATTTTAGAGATAAAGAAGTAGATGAGACAGAGGATGGAGAAGAAACAGAATGTGGAACAGTCTTTGGGATTGGAGGAGAGAGCACCACATCTTCATAGCGAGGAGGTTGTTCATTGCCAAATATCGGCGAATAAGGTCCCTGCTGGATGGAGTGAAGAGTGTTAACCAGTTCAGCCAAATCACTGTGCCCGCTTCCAGGTGCACCCTGTCCACAGCCTCCAAAACCTCCAATTCCTTCCAGCTCCAGAGGCAATCTCTTAAGATAGGAACTGAGACGAGTCATCACAGCCCGATACACACTGTCAGGGCTTGCTTCCCCATCCTCTGGGCCTCCACCAGCTTTGTGTTTGATGCACTGTTTGATTATGTCAGTGCATTTCTTAAGGTCTTCAGAACATTTAAGCAGAATATCAAGGCAGGCACGTATGTCTTCGCCACCTGCTCCGCCAGTAGCTGCCTCCGCTCGCGTCTTCTCCAGCAGACGGGCAATTAAGTTCTCTTCTCCTAGGGTGTTGCGGTACAGGGAGGCCACTGTGTTCAGACTTTGGTCTAATGACCCAATACTCGTGAGGCTGTTTGTTGAGCCACCAGCAACTTTGGTGATGGACGACATGGTGCCTGGGTTGCCCTTAATCTTTGTTTCCTCTAGCACCGTTCCTTTCCCTTGCACAAATGGTGGCAGGTTCTCATCATTGGAAGAAGCCGTGCCATTTGTCATAGTAGTTGCATTTGTGGTAAGGTTGGAGCTGAAGTGGCCATAAATAATCTCCAGGTCGGTGGAGCGACGGCTAAAAGAGTCAGGACGGACTTTCCGGCCTTTCCGGAAGGTGATGTGGCTGGAGGATGAGAGGCGGAGCTTATCAAATGAAAACTCCTTGAGTTTACCACTGGCCAGGTTGATGGCTTCTTCGGTAATATCCTTCAGACTGCCAGAGGAGGTCATACTCCCAGTCGATGCTCCACCACCAGAGGTCTTCTTACCACGCCATGTTGGGCTCTCTTCTCCTAAAGATAAATTGCCACTGCTGCCTGCCCTCTCTAGGCTCCCATTATGAGTACTATCCATGGCAAGACAAACTTTAGCATGGTTAGGAAGCTGCTGAGCAATAATGTTGCGGGAGTGTATGGGCGAGCTGTTAAGGTCATTGTATTGAGGGTCAGGTGCAACAAGGAGCTCAGAACAGGTGCCACGGTGTGCAACAGTGCAGTCCAAGCCCTGGGACAGTGCTCCACATGGCCCTGAGCAGTAGTGTACTGCATGGGAGTGAGTGCGTCGGTCTACTACCACACTGTTGTAACAGCTCACGCTGCTCACAACAACACGATAGGCTGCTGCCATGGTGACCAATGATCTTCAGGGAATAGGAAGGTCAAAATTATCGGGAAGAGTAAAACAAAAACAATCTACCAAACTTCCTCCTGAATAAAAATATATTTTTGAAACTGCTTCATGAGAAAAATAATTTATGTCCAAACACTGAATCATCTTCCTGGAAAAAAAAAAAAGTCTTTCAACTTCTAGGTGCCATTTTTATGCTGTAACAAAAAAGGCTATCAAAATATATAAAGAAATGCCTACAATAATAAATGGCAAAGTCATGCTAGTCAAAGCTTTAAATAGGCAAAGAATTCTCTGTGGGCCTCTTAATAAGAGCTGTAATGTTTCACCTCTCTCCGCAGGCACCTTCCCAGTTTCCTCTCTAGCAGCAGCTCATTAGCCACTAATGATAGCTGTGGAGAATAGTGACAGCAGAGGATCCAGCTGGGGTATCACCCATCCCTACACGAAATAGCCCAAGGGGCTTAATCCAAGGCCAGCGAGGCTTTAACATTGCCCTAGCCTGGGCTCATCCCCTGGGCAACGTTGGAGAAAAAAAAACTCTTTTTCCTATCAGAGCTCAGGACCATTCGCTGACTCCAACGCAGCTGCAAAATAGCAGGGGACTGACCACAGATGGCCAATGGCCCCTTTCTCTTTATGAGTGTGCGTCTGGGAGATCTCTCTTTCCCGTACTCCCTTACCCCGTCCGTCTTGTTCTGTCAGCAATTTGTTAGGATGAGCATGTGTTTTGGATAGGAGGACACCACCTGTGAGTAAACAAAGAGAAGAGGGGAAAGAGGGAGGAGAAAGGAGTCAGGGTGAGAAAGGGAAAACATGAGAAAAAGTAAATTATTACGACAATAATCAAGAAGTAGACAACTGTGTATTTGAGTGTTTCCATACATGTGCACATATTAGGTGTTTTGTGTGTGCAAGATGCTACAATTTCCAGTTAGTATCCAGCTGTAGCATCTTTGCTTTAAAATAAGGTAATATAATCATTCTTGTCGTGAATTGGCTATATCAGTAAAATCTGAACTGAAGCGCCATTCTAAAATAACGGTGCAGAAAGGTACCAGACATACCCAAGTTAAAAGTAGGGCAGAATGTTAAAGCAGACAGTCGTGACTCCCTGTTTCGTCAGAGAAGATCAACAAAGACTTTACTATGACCCTGCTGAGAAATCACAACTCAGCTAAAGAGAAGCAGGTGTTGTACGGGGGAGAAAACACCTGGCGCTTTCATGTTTCCATTGCTGTTTTTCTCCATTCTTGGGCACAAATTGCATGTTTGTCAAGGAAATAAAGACGCACCACTGCATTTCCAGAGGATATTTACAATTAATAAGGAGTTTAAAATGAAAAAAATAAAACAGGACAGACTGATTTATTTTAGTGAATATAACTGTTTATTTAAACCTTACAGTGAAATATTAAATATGAAATAATAATAAAGGTTGAACTCTTTAAACTAAGATATACATCTTGGTAATCTTAATTATGCATGTATATATATCCACACATATATCTGTATGCACCATTTCTCCTCCTTAAATAATGAGCAAAAGTTTGCATGGTCACACATACAGAAACTACTAACACTTATATGTTTTTAAAAACATTTATTTTATAGACAGATATCTCTACAGATAGCTAGATATAGATAGATATAGATATATATATACACCATTTTTTTTAATTTTCACATATATTTTATGTGATATGTTCATTTCATCATCTTCCTGAAAATGGGATGTTATGTTCTCCGTTTCCCTGCTTCATATTCAACATATTTGCTTGGGAACATTTCTTTAAAAAAAAAACAAAAAAAAAAACAACTCAGCTCATCTCTGCATTTGAGAGCTACTGGAGACATTGATCTGTACAGTAAAGGAAGTCAAGCAATAAATACCAGTCTCAGAAAGCAAACATACTGTGTAGTAGGATGGCAAACAAGGCTGATTGTTAAAATCATTTGAAGACTATGCACAAGAGTGAAAATAACTTGGCATGTGAAGACCCAGCTCAGTATTATTTCTGTCTCTCCACTCCATTTTCTACATTCCGCTTTTCTAGTTTTAGATGTCTTAGTTTCTGTATTTAATGCACAAATTTCTATTTCTCCATTTTCTTTCCCGTGCTAGAAGAACATCGCTTAGAGGCATTACATCTTACACATATGTACTCATACATATTGTATGGTCCGGACATAAAATTTAATAGTAGTATAGTGCTACTGCAGTCACACAACCACAAGCATTCGTAGCATACATGAAAACAGTGTCTCAAAACCCCACGTTTGTGAATTCAGGACTGCATACTTGTGGGATTCAAGATTTTCAGAATGACCACAGGAGGGGAAAAGCACAGAAAGGTTAGAATAACTTAGACTGAGTGTGCAGACACATGATATTTAATGGGTTCTTAAGGAGATGGAGTTTCCTACTTAAATCTGTCAAAGACAAAAAACAAAAACAACAACAACAACAACAACAACAACTGAAAGAGAAGGAGGTGGGCTTCTGCGTAGGGGAGAGTGGGGTAGGGGGTGTTCGGTGTCTGGGTAAACAACAATTAAGAAACTATATGGGAAAAACAAAAACAGGCAATCCCCTTCCACCCCTTTCCACACACACACACAC